AGATGGGACTGGGGCCTCCTTCTCGGGCAGTGGAGCTGACCCTGGGTCAAAGTGAGGGGGCTGATCTCCCTTCGTGCTGGCCACGTGGGCACCTCCTGTCCGCGCCGGACAGCACTTGGTCGTGTTCAGACACGTTTTTGTTTGCTCCCTCGCTGTGGCTGCTTTCCTTCTGGACGTGTCTTCTCTCCAGCCACCTGCAAGCAGGGCTGCCCCTGTGTCGCGCCCTGTCCCCCACCTTCCACTCCCAGCGCAGCCCCGAGCTCGGTGGTGAGGGCGATGAGGAAGGGCGTCTGCGACGTCCACAGCAGAGCGTTAAGACTTCACGCCGTTTTATTCCGTTCTCTGGATGACCCAGCGAAGTGGCTACTAGGAAGCCAGCAGATGAAATAACAGACCTCACCTAAACCACAGGCAAATGCAGACACTGGGCTCTGAACCTAGCTGGGTATGACCCTCGTCCTGGCCGCTGAGCAGGGCAGGGCCCCTCTGGCGTGGCTATGAGGCCAGCAGAAAAGTATGGTGTCCTATGTGCCGCCAGGACAGGACAGGAGCCTCCCCGGAGCTTCCAGCAGCTCGGTGGCAGAAAGAACAACCGCCATCGGCATCCAAGGTGAAACAAACCGGCTCCTTGGGACAGGAGGGGAAGGGGGACGTGGTCTCTGTGGAGCCTCCGATCTTGAGTGCTTCCAGGAGAATCTGCTGACATTTTGAGTGGGATGTCGTCCTCGGTGGAAGTGCCCCCAACCACTTCAAAGAACAGGAGGGACGCCAGCCGAAGGAAAGGAAGAATTTAAGACGGCAGATTTCAGTGGGATGACTGCTTCCGAGGATCCGAAGGGGTGGGGTAGGCCCACAGTGGGAGGGATTTTCAGGAGAAAACAGTAACATTAGAAGTAGCAAGAACAACTTCCCAGGCATGGGATGGGGGTGGGGGCACTGCTGAGCTCTGCAGAAAATGGGGTAAGGCTGTGGTCCCCAACCCCTGGCTGTAGCCTGTTAGGGACCTGCCACAGAGCTCTGCCACCATGCTTCCCTCCCCCAATCCGTGCCAAAATTGTCTTCCATGGAGCTCAGGAATGGGGTGGGGACACAGCCATAGGTGAGCGGCAGGTGAGGCGAGTGACTCTTCATCTGCATTTACAGCCGCTCCCCATCGAGCCCACCGCCCACCCCCGTCTGTGGAAAAACTGTCTTCCATGGAAGCGGTCCCTGGTGCGAAAAAGACTGGGGACCACTGCCATAAGGATGTGAATCACCGCTGGGCACGGATCCGTCCCTTTATTCTCCAGTGACTGAGAAGCCTTCAGCAGCCTGGCACGTGGCCAGCAGCCGTGGGGGGAGTGCAGGAAGAAGTGACTGTCCCTTTCCTTGGGAGACACAAAGGACGAGCCTCAGAGACAAGATAAAAAGCCAAGTGGCTGAAAAAGCTGAACACACGCAAGGTTAAGCGCTGAAAGCAAGATAAGAGCACGAGGCCCTGCGGGGGACGCGTCCCTCCACCGCACTCAGGGAGGAGCCAGCAGCCGCCTAGAGAGACCACAGAAGCCGCCAAAGCCGGAAGCTGCAGGAGTCATAAAGGGAAGTTGAGAAATGTTCTGTTTACCCGGGGAAAGGTGGTAAAAGAAATGTGCTCCTTAATTAGACGGAGAGAAAGCAGAGCAGTGGACATGTGCTCATCCCTGCACAGCACGTGGGCCTGCACACACACACGTGCACACACTTATGCACATGCACACACACACGTGCATGCACACATGCACACATACATGTGCGCACATGCACATACATGAGTACACACATGCATGCACATGCATGCACACACATGGAGGTGGGTGGGGCACCAGGTTCCCGGCCTCTGGGAGACCCTGTCTCGGGCTATACATGGAGGCTGCGTGGACTGTGCTTCGAGTGGGTGTGAACAAGCAACTCGGCCTTGACTGCTGTGATCAGTCCATCTCCCTTGCACTGTGACACGATGACCTGGCCTCAGGTTCAAGGACACAGTGGTCACTAGCAGCCTGCTCTCTCACCGGGCCCAGCTGCCCCCCACCACCTCTCAGGTTCTTTCCTGTAAAACACAGACGTCAGAACGGCGGCTTTAAACCCAGGCTGCACATTGCAGGCACCGCTGGAGATTTCTAATCATAAAAGGTACCCAGGACACACCCTGGCGCCACCAAATCCCAGTCTCCCAGGGGACGGCCTTCTGACGAAGTTCTTCCCGGAGAGAGTCTGGGACCCAGCCCCATCGAGAACAAAGCTGCCCCGGGCTCCCGCTGCCGTTTCCATTCCTTGACCAGCACATGCTAGCAAATTGGCGTGGAGTGTGGGCCAGCGGGCTCTGTGCACCGGGGCAGGCCCGCCAAACTGCGGCCAGCGCTTCTCTCTGCAGGTAGGGCCAATGGGAGGACTGAAGGACAACAGACCCCAAATGCGGAAGACCCCAACCTTCAGGGCCCTGGAGAAAAGCTGATGAGCTGACGTTGACAGGGATCAACACAGCTCGGCAATGACGCTGGGAACAGCAGGTGCCTCTGGGGAGCGAGCCGGACAGCCAAGGACAGCGGTTGGGGAGAAGTACATTTCATTTAAACTTGTTTGCAGGCCTCTTAAATGTTGCACCACATGAAAATATTAGCTACCTGGGAAAAAGTCACTGGCAGAAACAGGATTGAGAAGAAGCCAGCCAGAGGTAACTGAGATGTACACGATCTAGGGTCTTAGCTGCCCACAAGCTGCACTGCAGTGGCAGCCCGACTTTCGGCCTTATGGGTGGACAGGTGGCATGCTCGTTAGGAGCACTGGCCCTCTGTGATCTGTGCAGTTCACTCCTTGTCCAGGCCACTGGGCTGAGCACTGCCTTGTGAGCAGGGTCCGTACTGACACACTAGACTACACCCAGGAGGGAGAAGTCGGGCTTGGGAAGGGTCAGGAAACCGCAGCAGGGCTAGGCAGAGGGAGGACAGGGCGGGCCCACTGCTGTCTCCAGCCATCTTCGCTGGCACGGCGAGCAGACTTCTTCCTGAAGGCAGAGCCGCAGCTATGGGTGAGCTCTGTAGGGAGGTGCTCTGGGGGACAAGGGAAAACTTTCCAACCTCCAGGTTGTCTCCCATCGGAATGCAGTAAGCTCCCTGTCTCAGATGCGCTTGAGCTGAGGGTGCTGGACTGTGTCTCCGTCAGAGACAGTGCTGAGGAGACCCTGGCCCCCGCCAGCATGCTGAACTGGCGACTTCTTAGCCCGAACCCACCCTGAGCCAGGAGGAGTGCCCGAGATCCTTGAGGTGCCAGCACCAGACCTTGCAGTGCAGCTTTTGTCCCTGGGGCGGTCATCTGCTGGTGACCACCTAGTGCCATCAACCCAGAAATGGTGGCAACAGTGCCCGGTGGCCACCAAGCCAGGGCTGCGGAGAGCCAGACCTAACCTGGGCTTTGGAGGGACTTGGCAGGGCCAACAGGTGTGTTCTGCTTTTTTAAAAAAAGTAACATTTGGCCGGGCGCAGTGGGTCACGGCTGTAATCCTAGCACTCTGGGAGGCCGAGGCGGGAGGATCGCTCAAGTTCTGGAGTTCGAGACCAGCCTGAGCAAGAGCCAGACTCCGCCTCTACTAAAAATAGAAAGAAATTAATTGGCCGACTAAAAATATATAGAAAAAAAATTAGCCGGCCATGGTGGTACATGCCTGTAGTCCCAGCTCCTTGGGAGCCTGAAGCAGGAGGATCACTTGAGCCCAGGAGTTTGAGGTTGCTGTGAGCTAGGCTGACGCCATGGCACTTTAGCCCAGGCAACAGACTCTGTCTCAAAAAAAAAAAATAAATATAAATAAAAATAAATTTAAAAACTAACATTTACTGGCCAGGCGTGGTGGCTCACGTTTGTAATCCCAGCATTTTAGGAGGCCAACATGGGAGGATCACTTGAGACCAGGAGTTCAAGACCAGCCTGGGCAACATGGTGAGACCCCCCGTCTCTACAAAAGATCAAAAAATTAGCACACGCCTGTAGTCCCAGCCACTGGGGAGGCTGAGGCAAGGAGGATCGCTCAAGCCCAGGTGTTGGAGGCCGCACTGAGCTATGATGACAGCACTCACTCTGACCTGTGAGATAGCATGAGACCCTGTCTCTAAAAACAAAAAAACCCTAACATTTCCTGGGTGCTGCTGTGTACCCCACCAGAAGCTACTCTGGGAGAGGAGACAGGCAGGCGCTGGCCAGCACTGCAGGGCAGAGAAAGCAAGCCAACAAGACAAATGTTACAAGGGCCAATGCAGTGGAGAGAATGCCATGGGTGCGGGGGAGGGACTGCAGGGCTGCAATAGATGGAAGCCCAGGAATCAAGGAAGGCCTCCCTGAGGGGGTGACATCCATCTGACCCGAACGACATGACTGCAGACCAAAGGGGCCCAGCTTGTCTCGATCCTCTGGTGACCCGCATTTGCTGTGGCGGGCACCCTTAGGGCGCCAGTCGCTGTCTCGGAGAGGCCAGCCTGCCCCCCGGCCACCGCTTTCTCCCTTGCAGCCAGGAGTGCCGTGAGTCCCCCACAGGGACAGACGGGGCCGCTCAGAAGGGAGTGCGCGACACGCCTCTAACGACAGATGGGGCAGACCTGCGATGCACCCACTTCCGCGGTGTCCGTGAGCGCCAGGTCGTTGCACGTAGCGCCCAAGCGCCCGCACACAGCGAGCCTCGGTACGCGGCCACTGCCCGGATCAGTGTGGACTGCCTCGCTGGGACTCAGAGCGGGCCGGGCCTCTCCTGCGCCTCAGTTTCCCCTGCCGGGCTCGGGGGACCGCCACCCGCGGTGCGTTCGGCTCGCAGCCTCGGGGCTGCTCGGGCGGAGGCAATCCCGGCGGGAGGCGCGTGGGAGGCGGCGGCGGCAGGGAACGCGCCCCGCGGCCCCGCCCCGCCCCGTGCCCGGTCCCGCCCCCGGAGCCGGCCGGCGGGCGCGCTCCTTTAAGGCAGCCCGCGGGCCGCGAGCGTGCGCTTCGCCCCCTCCGACGCGGCCACGGTAGCGGCTTCACCTTTAAGGCGGCGCGGGGGCTGCTGGGAAGGCCGGCGGGATGGAGGCGGCGGGACCGGCTCTCGGCTGCGGGTCCGGGTGAGGCGGGCGGCAGCCGGAGCCGGAGCGGGAGCCGGGCCCGAGCCGTGGGCGCAGGTCGGCGCGGGCCGGTCGGGCCGGGCAGGGGTCGGGCCGGAGAGGGAGTGGGGCTGCGGGCCGGCCGGGGAGGGGCGTCGAGGCGCGGCCTGCGGGGGCACCGGGCGCCCGCGGGGGGGGCGCGAGGGCACGGCCGCACGCCCCGGACGCGGGTCCGGCCTCGGGGCGAGGGTCCGCGCCGGCCGGCCGCGGGGGAGGGGCCGCGCGTCGGCCTGCCGGTTGGGGAGGGGCTGCCGGGGCGCCGCGGTCTGCGGCGCGGGAGTGAGCCCGGGACCCGCACCGGCCCTCGTTAGGGGGCCCGGGGACGCCCCGAGACTGGGCCGCCGAGCCGGTCCGCGCTGGTGGCTGCGGCCGAGTCAGGGTCCGGCCCCGCCGGCCGCACCGCATTGCGTCTCCCCGGCCGAGGCGAGCCGGGCGCGCCCCCTGCAGGCCGAGCGTGCGGGCATGGTGCGGGCTGCGCCCGGGGGACCGGGCACCCGGGGACCGCCGTGTTTACCTACTCCGGGCGGGCGGCGGTGCGGCCCCAGGCCCGGCGCCCGCTGCTCGCCCCCTCGCCTTCGCAGGCGGCACGACCATGGCCATGATGGTGCTTCCGCGGGAGGAGAAGCTGAGCCAGGACGAGATCGTGCTGGGCACCAAGGCCGTCATCCAGGGCCTGGAGACCCTGCGCGGGGAGCATCGTGCCCTGCTGGCGCCTCTGGTCACGCACGAGGCTGGCGAGGCAGAGCCTGGCTCGCAGGAGCGCTGTGTCCTCCTGCGCCGCTCCCTGGAGGCCATTGAGCTGGGGCTGGGGGAGGCCCAGGTAGGTCTGGGACACTGCTGTGGGAGGGAGGTCACGGGAGGGAGGGAGCCTTCCAGAGGAAGCCCGGAGCGTAGGAACAGAATCTGAGCAGGGAACCATCTGTTCCCAGCAAATATCTTTGCAAGAGATGAATGCGCTTTGGAGACCCGGCCCTGCCCCAGGAGACCCTGACCACCCTCACGCCCACACAGAACACTGTTCCCGGCTCCCTCTACCTAGCAGAGACTGAGTGGCTTAGAGCAGAAAGGAAATCCTTAGGGAGACCCCTTTACAGTCCCCCCACAATTCATTCATCAACAGATAAGCTATCAAGGCAATATGTTAGGTGCGAGGGATACAGCATCCAACAAGACAGATAAGATCCCTGCCCTAGTCTGTAGGAAAAGAGACAGAAACACCCATACGCAAATAATTGTTACAAATTATAATAAGTTCGCCAAAGAAAAGAAGGAGATTTTGTGATAGCTTATAGCAGGGAGTCTTGTCTGTTGGGCAGGCAAGACTTTTCTGAGGAAATGACAAACCAAAACCTGAAGGGAAAAGTGAACCAGCCTCTAGGAAAGGGAAGTGGGGAAGACACTGCATGTGCAAAGGTCCTGAGGTAGGAAAGAGCTCGTGGTGGGGGAATTCAGAGAACTGTGTGACTGGAGCTTGATGGGGAAGGAGAGAGGGACAGAAGAGGCTTGTGGAGAAGCCAGGAGCCAGACTGTGGCCTTGTCACTTTGGGTTTTATTCTCAGGAAATCAGAAAGCCTTTGGAGGGCTTTAAGCAGGCAGGGGACACAGTCTGACTTAGGTTTTGTTGTGTTCTTTTTTTTTTTTTTTTTTTTTGAGACAGAGTCTTGCTTTGTTGCCTAGGCTAGAGTGAGTGCCAAGGCGTCAGCCTAGCTCACAGCAACCTCAGACTCCTGGGGTCAAGTGATCCTCCTGCCTCAGCCTCCCGAGTAGCTAAGACTACAGGCATGCACCACCATGCCCGGCTAATTTTTTCTATATATTTTTAGTTGTCCAGCTAATTTCTTTCTATTTTTACTAGAGACGGAGTCTCACTCTTGCTCAGGCTGGTCTCAAACTCCTGAGTTCAAACAATCCGCCCGCCTCAGCCTCCCAGAGTGCTAGGATCACAGGCATGAGCCATGCCCCCAGCCTGACTTAGGTTTTTAAAACTCCCTGTGGTTGAGTTTTAAAATGGAGAATAAGGCCAGGCGCACGCCTGTAATCCTAGCACTCTGGGAGGCCGAGGCGGGCGGATTGCTCGACGTCAGGAGTTTGAAACCAGCCTGAGCAAGAGCAAGACCTCGTCTCTACTATAAATAAAAAGAAATTAATTGGCCAACTAATATATATATATAGAAAAAATTAGCCGGGCATGGTGGCGCATGCCTGTAGTCCCAGCTACTCGGGAGGCTGAGGCAGGAGGATTGCTTGAGCCCAGGAGTTTGAGGTTGCTGTGAGCTAGGCTGACGTCACGGCACTCACTCTAGCCTGGGCAACAAAGCGAGACTCTGTCTCAAAAAAATATATAAATAAATAAAATGGAGAATAAACCTTAGTGGGTCAAGGATTGAAGCGGGTAGCACTTGGTTAGGAAGCCATTGCTGGAACTCAAAAGAGAGGTGGTACTTGGACTGAGGGGTGGCTGTTGGGGTGACGAGAAGGAACCAGTTCTGGAGGTAGAGCCAGCAGGACCTGGGGAAGTGAGGAGAGAGGAGGGTGCATCCCTCCCAGCTTGGGGTTTAAGCAAGGTAAGGGGTGAGAGAGCCTGGGTGGAACAGGAGTTCTGGCTCTGCCTCTGAAATTGGGGCCGCCAGGACCACGTGCAGATGGAGATGTCCAGGAGGTGCTGGATGTACAAGGAGTTGAGACGCTACAGGAAAAGGTTTTGTTCCCCTCGGATCTTGGCTGAGCTCCTGCCTGGCACCGTGAATCCTGGGCATGTTGTATGATCTTGGTTTCCTAGTCTTTAAAATAGGGATCATGCCATCTGCTATATATACTGCCACGCTGTTTAGGGAATTTTTTTAAAGTTAGTGGTTATGAAAACACCCGTCCCTTAGGTGTTGCTAACCAGCTAGAAAGCACAGGCTCCAGACGGCCTGGACTCTGGAAGAGCGGTGCGTCCTCTGCCGGTTGCTGCTCCGTAGCAGGGAAGACCACGCAGGGGCCCCTCCCAGTGGAGTACGGCTGCCCTTCTGGGGGAGGCACCACTGCAGAAATGACCCTAGACCATGAAGGATGGAGAAAGGACGGTGGGGTCTCTGCCAAGGCCGCCAGGCAAGAAGAGCCTGGAGTCCTATAGGTTGGTGAGGGGCTGAGGCTGAGGCCCCTTTCCTGGTCCAGTGGTCCCCCAGATTGTCTGGGGGTTTGGGACACATGCCCCTTCTCTATCTTGGAGCTGCAGAAAGGCAGGGGGTGCCATGGATCCTCATTAGAAGTAGGATTGGGGTCTTTTGGTGGCCCTTCGGCCATCTATCAGGGTTTTTTGGTCAGGCGCTAGCCTGGGGGCAGGGAGCAATGGTCTCGTGGCTGTGGTAACAGGAGCTTGAGTGCAACCCCAGGGAGAGACAAAGGAAGAGTTGGAAGCTCAGAGAAGGCACAGCACCCTTGCTAGCCCTCTTCTGGGGGCCTCCTGATCCCAGAAGGAAGGACTCGGGGACCTCCAAGCCTCCTGGGTTTGGGCCTTGGACTGTGTGGTCTGTTTGTGGCCTTGGAGGGAGTCTCCCTTGAGGAGGAGAGCACGTCAAGGCCCGAGGCCTGCAGCTCTTCCCAGGAAGGGCCAGGCCTGGCTCTTCACGGGGCCCCAGAGGCCCAGGCCAGAGTCGCAGGCTAGCGGGTGGACAGGGCTCGGGCCTTACCCTGGCTGGCTGCACAGGTGATCCTGGCGCTGTCGAGCCACCTGGGGGCCGTGGAGTCAGAGAAGCAGAAGCTGCGGGCGCAGGTGCGGCGCCTGGTGCAGGAGAACCAGTGGCTGCGTGAGGAGCTGGCGGGGACGCAGCAGAAGCTGCAGCGCAGCGAGCAGGCCGTGGCCCAGCTGGAGGAGGAGAAGCAGCACCTGCTGTTCATGAGCCAGATCCGCAAGCTGGACGACGGCGCCTCCCCCAGCGTGAGCCCCCACCTCGGCCGCCGCTGCCGCCCAGCCCACTGACACCCGCAGCTCCTTCCCTCATGCTTATCTTGTCTTCCTTACCAGGAGGAGAAGGGGGACGTCCCCAAAGACTCCCTGGACGACCTGTTCCCCAACGACGATGAGCAGAGCCCAGGTGCGGATGGACAGCGGTTCTGGAATGGGGGGAAGAAAGCTTGTGTGAACTCTTGGTCCTTGGGACTCAGAGACCCCACCGTCCCAGTGGCTGCCATGTTCCCTCCTGCCCCAGTTGTGACCATAACCTCCCCGCGTGTCGGAACTTCCAGGCGTGTCTCAAGTGCTGCTCCTCACACCCCGTGAGCTCTGTGAGGAGCAGACTTCACAGTTGAGAGCTTTGGGGCTGCCAGGCCTGGCTTCCAGTCCTGCTTCTCTGCGAGCCCTGGGAGTTTCTCTTCCTCCCTGGGCCTCCCCTAGGGAGACAGGAACTGCATGCATGGACCGTGCCAAGCAGGGGCTGGTGCTCCCAGCCCGTAGGGTTGAGCACGTCGGGCCTCCACACCGCAGAGGAGGAAGCAGGCTCCAAGGTTAGGGACGTGCTCTGTGACACACAGCGTGAAGCATTGCGCTGGGACTCACCCACTCTTTCTATGGGGTGACTGGACCCACTCTATAAATGAGGGAACTGAGGCAGAGTGGTTAGTGACTTGCCCAGGGCCACATGTCAGGTGGGTCAAAGGCACAGCTGGCATGTGGCAGCCCAGCCCAGCGGGCACATGGTACATCTGACCTCCTGCCCTTGGCCTGCAGCCCCCAGCCCTGGAGGAGGGGACGTGGCTGCTCAGCACGGAGGCTACGAAATCCCAGCACGACTCCGCACCCTGCACAACCTGGTGATTCAGTACGCCTCGCAGGGCCGCTATGAGGTGGCCGTGCCACTCTGCAAGCAGGCACTCGAGGATCTAGAGAAAACATCGGGCCATGACCACCCTGACGTGGCCACCATGCTCAACATCCTGGCGCTGGTCTATCGGTGAGGGCTCCTCTGGCCACCGTCATCCCTGGGCGCAGCTCCTGCGTTCTTGAAGGCCGCAGCCCTGGATCACTGACTCAGGGTCTGCTGTGGGCCAGGACTTGGGCTGCACCAGGCAGTTGGGTGGCAGGGAGAGAAGGGCCTGCGTGGAACTGGGCCACAGATGGGAATAAACCTGAGTCGAGTGCAGGAGAGAGGCTGGGATGGAAGCAGGGAGGGGGCCGCAGGTGCGAACTCCAGGGGTCCTGGGGAGTCGGTGTGGTTTCTCCAGCCACCAAGCTTGAGTCCGTGCTTTGGTGAAAAGTGAGTCTGCCCAGAACACAAAGGGGTTGGAAAGATTCCTGTGGCAGAAAGCCAGCATGAGCAAAGGCCGGGGGACTAGAGGGCAAGGCATGTGGCAGGAAAGTTGTATGGGGCCCAGGAGCACTAGGTGTGGGTGGTAGATGGGACCCCAGCACCACATGTCCCAGCCAGCGGTGAGCCCCTGGAGGCCAGGGGCTGAGCAGGTCTCCCCGTACTCTGGCTCACACTCCATCATGCCCACTCCCCAGTGAATACAGGAGTGACCACGGGGATTGAAGGCCACTGGGGTAGGGCGCCAGGCTGGAGGATAACCTTGACCATGCTCCCACCTGCTCACAGGGACCAGAACAAGTACAAGGAGGCTGCCCACCTGCTCAATGATGCCCTGGCCATCCGGGAGAAGACACTGGGGAAAGACCACCCGGCCGTGAGTGCGGGTGGGTGGGGGCTACCTTCTACCCCCTGCAGCTCTCAGGGCCCAGAGCTCCCTGCCCAGCGGGGCCTGGGTCAGGACCTTCCATCCTCTGCCCCTCAGGTGGCCGCGACACTGAACAACCTGGCGGTCCTGTACGGCAAGCGCGGCAAGTACAAGGAGGCCGAGCCGCTGTGCAAGCGGGCGCTGGAGATCCGGGAGAAGGTGGGAGCCTGGGGCGCTGGGCAGGCAGGGACGCTGGGCAGGTGGGGGCCCCAGACAGCCCTGAACCCAGCCTCTGGCTCCCTCTTTCATCCCAGGTCCTAGGCAGGTTTCACCCAGATGTGGCCAAGCAGCTCAGCAACCTGGCCTTGCTGTGCCAGAACCAGGGCAAAGCGGAGGAGGTGGAGCACTACTACCGGCGCGCACTGGAGATCTACGCCACGCGCCTCGGGCCTGATGACCCCAACGTGGCCAAGACCAAGAACAACCTGGTGCCTGGGGCTGGAAGATGGGAAGGGGGTGGGAGAGGAAGAGGCTCACCTCCCCACCTCCGGCTCACCCTCTGGGACCTGCCTCTCCAGGCTTCGTGCTACCTGAAGCAGGGCAAGTACCAGGATGCAGAGACCCTGTACAAGGAGATCCTCACCCGAGCTCACGAGAAGGAATTTGGCTCTGTCAATGGTGAGTCCATGGCGGCCACATGTCGCGGGGCATGCAGCAGGGGCCACTCTGCTGTCAGCACCCAGGACCAATGCAGCTGGGCGGGCCCTCTGGCCAGGCTTGTGCTCACGATGGCACACGTGAGCACACACCGACCCACACAGCCTCCCTGGCCTGCCTGTGCCACACATACTTTTATCTACCCCATGCTCTGGGCCCAAGGGCTTCCCCCTTTGCTACTGGGAACTCCTGCTCGCCTGGAGGGCCTGGCCACGTCTCCCCCTGGATCCCCGGAGACTGGCCCATCACTCAGGCCTAGCATGCATGCCTCGCTGTGGCCTGAGGTGTGGAAGGGTCTGTCCTTCCCCGCCCCCCGCCTCAGTCACAAGTCCCGCACTGCAGCCTGTGCGGTGCTCACCTGTGTCCAGGGGAGGTCAGCAATGTTTTGGGTCTGTTTCTTATTCATTCAAAGAAGTGCAACCCTGGTCCCCCTCCCCAGTCCTATGTGCAGCCCAGTCAGGAGGCCTATTTGGCAGCCTGGTGACCATCCCCTTTCTTCTGCCAGGGGACAACAAGCCCATCTGGATGCATGCAGAGGAACGGGAGGAGAGCAAGGTAGCTCCGTGGGGCCGGTGTCCTGATGGGGGAGGGGCACGCACAGAGCAAAGGGCCTCCTCCCACATCCCACCATTCTTTCCCCAGGACAAGCGTCGGGACAGTGCCCCCTATGGGGAATACGGCAGCTGGTACAAGGCCTGTAAAGTAGACAGGTGAGGGCGGCAAGAGCAGGTGGCCGGGCACCTCCCAGGCTCCACACTCCACTCTCTCTGCAGACACATCTCTCCTCTGCCAGCTTATCTCTCAAGGCCTGGGTCACAAGCCACCTGCCCCAAGAAGGCTCCCTGCACTGGGACAGCCTAATTCTCTTGCTCCTGGGTCTCCTAGATTTTAGTCCTGGTGGCCCTGGGATGATTTTCCCCAGGACAGGCGGGCCTAGCACAGGACTTGACACATTGGAGGGGCTAGGTTCTGGTTGGCGGGATGGTTCCTCACGGCCTAGTCGGGGCCAGGGTGGGCCCCAGGTCTGGGGGAGCATGGAGTGTGAGACTGTCCTGTCTGCAGCCCTACAGTCAACACCACCCTGCGCAGCTTGGGGGCCTTGTACCGGCGCCAGGGCAAGCTGGAAGCTGCGCACACGCTGGAAGACTGTGCTAGTCGCAACCGGAAGCAGGTAGGACTCCAGGCAGGAGGCAGGTGGCAGGGACCTTGTGTGGCTCACGTGTGTTGCAGTCAGGGCCTGATGCCCCTGCCCCTCTCTCAGGGCCTGGACCCTGCAAGCCAGACAAAGGTGGTGGAGCTGCTGAAAGACGGCAGTGGCGGGCGGGGCGACCGCCATGGCAGCCGGGACATGGCTGGGGGTGCCGGGCCTCGGGCTGAGTCTGACCTGGAGGAGGCAGGGCCTGCAGCCGAGTGGAGCGGGGTGAGTCTAGGGGCTAGGGTGGGCTGGGAGGCTGTGTGGCCAATGTGGCCTAGAGACAAGCCTGTCCACCCCCAGGATGGCAGCGGCTTGTTGCGGCGCAGCGGTTCCTTTGGGAAGCTCCGGGACGCCCTGAGGCGCAGCAGTGAGATGCTGGTGAAGAAGCTGCAGGGGGGTGGCCCCCAAGAGCCCCCCAACCCCAGGTAAGCCCCTGCCCCACTGAGGCCCTCACCAGGGTTAGCCTCTCAAGAACCATCCAGCAACCCCAGATGAGCCCCTGCCCCAGATCCAGGGTGACCTCCCATCCCTCTCAGGCTCCACCACCCACCACATCCACTCCCACCCCAGCCTGACCCCTTCCCCCGTCCTCCCCCTGTTCCACCTTGGGCAAATCCTGGCCATCCTTTTCCCTCAGGATGAAGCGGGCCAGTTCTCTCAACTTCCTGAACAAGAGTGTGGAAGAGCCGGTCCAGGTAGGGGTGGGCAGGCTCTGGGCACTGGGCAGCTGAGGCCAGGCCCACGTGTGTTCCCGCCGAGCTTCCCAAGCATGTGTTCATCCAGCAACAGTTCCTGTCTCCATCCAGGCCTAGTTTGGGCTGAACAGCAGGGAGACAGCTGGGGGGAACCCATCCCCTGCCCTGGGTGGACATGAAAGCAGCCAGTGCCAACAATAGCGTGGAGGTTGGCAGGAGTGCCAGAGCACCAGGCTGTGGCCTGGGGTCAGACCTGCTTCTGCCCTGAGGGCTTGGGAAGCACAGACTAGCGCCAGCACGAGGCTGAGCCACCTGCCCCCTCTGCCCGCAGCCTGGAGGCCCAGGTCTCTCTGACAGCCGCACTCTCAGCTCCAGCTCCATGGACCTCTCCCGACGAAGCTCCCTCGTGGGCTAATCCGAAGGGAAAGCCAGTTGCCAGAGCCTCCGCCCGGCGTGCCCCCACCCCAGCCCTCCGCATGGGCCCACTGCTTGTCCTGCCTGTCTTCCCCAAGGCCCCTGTCTTTTCTGTTCAATCTCAGGGTAACCTCCTCCCTTGTCATCTCAGCCTGAACCACGGAGGCTGGGTCAGCCTGCTTAGCTCTGTCCCTTATTTATTCCTTCCAGCCGGGCCCCCTCTCCCCTAGGTCCTGGCCGGCAGGAGGAGCTGGCCAGAGTCTCCAAGATATTCAGTGGCCCACCAGCCCAGACCCCAGAGCCAAGAACACTAAGCACCTGCTGCCCCTTCAGCGTCCTGCCCTCTCCCCACCCCACCCGGCCGTTGCTTCTGTATATAGAGAAATAAGTTATTGGCCGCGCCCCTCCCTCCAGTCCACGTACTGCCCGGGCTCCCTCACCCCTTCTCTGCGGTACCGCCCAGGCCTTAATCACCCCATTCCACGCGGTGGTATCCCATAGTCTCCGCGTCCCCGCAGCGACGCTTCCCCAAAGGGTTCCCTGGGCCTTTTCGCGCTCTTCCTGGCCTCTGAGGGACGAGCCCCACTCCACCACGGCCGCAGAACCAAGGGCCTCTCCCGCCGGCCCGGGCCGAGCTGCCTCCCCGCTTCCTCGAGGGGCCGCCCGCGGCAGGGGGGCTGCCCCCGGACAGGGCCGAGGCGGTCACTCTTTATTTTCAGATGTTGCTGTAGAAATAAAGACGGTTTGAATCTGAGCCGGGCTCGTTTTGAGGCGGAGGTCGGGGACCCCCGGCGTGTCTGGATGGGGGGAGCGGGAGTGGGGTGTGCGTGCGTGTCGCTCGCGCCCTGTCCCGTGCAGCCGGAGCCCGGACACGGCCCCTGCCCCGCAGTTGTTCGGGGCTCCACAGGCTCAGGATTTCTCCCCAAACCTTCGCTCCCGGGTGCTAGAGAGCGCGGGCGTGTCTGCTCCTTGCCCAGTGCGGTGCCTCCAGCGAGTTTCCCGAGACTCCATGTTTTCATCTTCAGAACGTGGGTGATAACATCCTGCTCGGATGAGTTAAGAGTGCCCAGCACACGAAGAACCCTTGATAAGGACTTTTGCTAGCCTGTTACTGGCACCCACCTCTGGTTTAATGCTCGCAAGCTGGGCGGGGAAAGATGATCGCCTCCGTCACACTGAAGCGCCGCCCGCCCCAGCGCGGTCCTGGAGCCTGGGCCGTCTGGGGAGCAAACTACAAGCCCCAGAAGGCACTGCGCTGGCGGTGAGGGGCGAGGCGTACCTCCGGGGTGCGCCTGCGCAGCGGGGTGAGTTGGGCGGCGAGGGAGAGACTACAAGTCCCGAGAAGCAGTGCGACGAGGCACCAGTCCAAGTCGTTTGCGCCTGCGCGCCGCGGGCGGGGCCTCTGGGGCGGAGCGGCCACCATCTTGGAACGGGAGGCGGAGCAGAGCCGACTGGGAGCGACCGAGCGGGCCGCCGCCGCCGCCATGAACCCCGAATAGTGAGTGAGCCCCGCCCGCGCCGTGCGGCGCAGCCTCGATCCCGAGTACGGGGCTGTACTCTTACCGGGGTTGTTTGGCCCGGATCAGGGCTGCGCGGCGCCCCCACATCCGGGTCCCTCTTCCGCTGCCCCCCCTCACATCCGGGTCCTGCCCCTCCCCCCGGGGTCTCTAGGACCCTGGCTAGACACCCCGACTCCTCGCACCCGAGGCTCGGACACTGCGACCCCGAGGGATAGCATTTGGACCCCAAGGCACTGGCCCCACAAGGCCTTGTCGGTTAGGTGACCCTGCAGCTCCAGTCACCCCGGGCCTCAGTTTCCCCACCTGCTGTTTGACCACGGTCCGGCGTTTTGGAGCCTGTCAGGATAGTTTCTGTTCTTGGGTTCAGACTTGGGCCCTTTAGGTGGGTCCGTGAGTCCATCTGCCCTTACCTTCCTCCAGGAGCCTGGTTTTTGGGGTTGAGCTGAAGCAACGCTTGGGTCACATCTCCTGCAGGTCCTCCCCTCCAGGGCTGCCTCCTGCCCCTTGCCTGGGTCTCGCCGTCCTGTCACCCTGGCGTTCTGTCCTTTCCCGCTCTCACCTTTGCTCAGGCCCCAGTGCCAGCGTCACACACACTAACCTTCGCTGTCACACTGCCGATGAAGTTCACGTGAACGTGGAATTTGCTTTCCGCCTTCCAGTGGGATTCTTTGGTCCTCAAACTTTCCTCACTTCTTGGTTACTCCCCCTGCGGGTAGGTGGCCCACATCTCGTGCCCTGGGCTTGCAGTTTTCCCCAAGTATCAGTTAGCTTCTTCCTCTTCAGCCACTTCCTTTTTCTCCTCCAGATCCAGGCCTCAGGTTTCCTTGGGGAAGGGGAAGGTCTGAGCTGGATCAGAAGGGGACAAAGGAGGGAGTCAGCAGGCTCTCACAGAGTCTTTGGAGTCTGACAGGCTTGGTCTTAAAGTTGTCTCTGGGCAAGTCACTTCTCTTCCCTGACCTGTGGTTTCCCCATTAGTTGGGAATAACAACCCTCACTTCATAGGACTGTTGTAAGGATTAAATGAAATGCATTGGGAGTACTTCGTCACAAGTAGGAACTCAGTAGATTTTTTTTTTTTTTTGAGACAGAGTGTCTCACTCTGTTGCCCAGGCTAGAGTCCCATGGCGTCAGCCTAGCTCACAGCAACCTCAAACTACTGGGCTCAAGCAATCCTTCTGCCTCAGCCTCCCGAGTAGCTGGGACTACAGGCATGCACCACTATGCCCTGCTAATTTTTTCTATATATTTTTAGTTAGCAAATTAATTTCTTTCTACTTTTAGTGGAGACGGGGTCTCGCTCTTGCTCAGGCTGGTTTTGAACTCCTGACCTTGAGCAATCTTCCCGCCTCAGCCTCCCAGAGAGCTAGGATTACAGGCGTGAGCTGCCACGCCCGGCTGGAACACAGTAAATATTAAATGTGATTATCACTGCCACTTGTTGACCACATCTTCTGGGTGGCTTCCTAGGAGCCTCTTTATGTAGCTTTTTCACTTAATAGGTCCGGGACTGGGCCCTGCTTTCCACTCCTGGGGCCTCCCCTGCCGTGCCAGGCACACCAGAGGGTGTGCAGTGGGGGTTGTCTAAATAGCCCATCCCGGACAGACCCATGGAATCTATCAGGAGTCAGGGTAGGATTCCCAGCTTCATCACGTGGCAGGTCATGTCTCTGTGCCTTGGTTTCTTTCTTCATAAAGTGGGACTTCAGATTTGGCAAGCTGAAAGCCCTTTGAGCCAGCTGTGCTATGGGTGAGGGGTCAGCCCTCCCCGACCCAGGACCTGGGTGAGGATCTGGTGAGCACCATGGTGCTCCAAACTGAGGCATGCCTCATGGTGTGGGGGGACGCTGTAATTGTGACCCCAGGATGATGCTAGTGGGCTCCTGCCTTCATGCCTTCTGCTCCTCTTTCTCCAGTGACTACCTGTTTAAGCTGCTTTTGATTGGTGACTCGGGCGTGGGCAAGTCATGCCTGCTCCTGCGGTTTGCTGTGAGTAAGAAGCCTCCCATACCATCCGTCCGGGGTCCTGGCTGGCAGCTGGGGGGAAAGGGGCAACACAGAGCACGGTAGTTGCAAGGCCTGGGAACCAAGGATGAAGTTGCAGGACCTGCCAGCAACACATCTGACTGAACAGAGGTGTAGGGCTGGCAAGTGGGCTACTGAGAACTGGGGCTTGGCAGTGAGGAGCCCGGCTGGGACAGGGAGCTGGAGGGAGGCTGTCATAATGGGCCTTGGGCTCATTCACTCAGGCCATTTCACTGGCCCGTGACCTTCCAGGATGACACGTACACAGAGAGCTACATTAGCACCATCGGGGTGGACTTCAAGATCCGAACCATTGAGCTGGATGGCAAAACCATCAAACTTCAGATTGTGAGTGTCACTCTTCCCAAAACCCCTGTTAGAAAGGCATCTGCCTTGAGAGGGAAGGGGCTCTGGACGTGGAGCCCAGGACTGACCTGCCCGTCTGCCTGCTGTCTTACAGTGGGACACGGCTGGTCAGGAGCGGTTCCGGACCATCACTTCCAGCTACTACCGGGGGGCTCATGGCATCATCGTGGTGTATGACGTCACTGACCAGGTACTCGTGGACGCTGTCCTCAGCTTTGCCTACTCAGCCTGAGGCCTTTGACTCCTGCTGCCGGCCATGTCGGGCCCTGTCTTTCCTGAGCTTCCTGGAAAGGAGGCTTTGGCCTTATCTCGCAGGGATAGAAACGCACAGAACTGGATCCTTGGAGGTCCATTAGATCTGCTAAGGATCTTGGCAGAACCAGGCCTCACACCTCCCCGCCAGTCTTGTCACCTTATTGTCAACCTTCCAGGCACCTGTGTGTTGTGGGGGTTTAGTCAGCTGTTTGGCTGCTGTGCTAGGCCGTGGCTTCCTGTGTGAAGACACTGGGGCGACAATTAGAGGGCCTTAGACAGGAAGGGAGGGAGCCCTGAGCGCTGCGCCCAACATGAGCAGAGGTCTAGCAGCCCTGTGTCTCCTGCAGCAGCTTTAGTCACATGTCACTGGCAGCAAGTGACAGCAACATCCAGAAATGCTCCCCTCAAACCTTATAGTTTATAGAACCTGTCACAGCCTTCAAGTTGCCTTTTGATGCTCCTAAGAGGCCTGTGTTACCTCTCTCTCTTACGGATGAGGAATTGGGTTCAGGACGGTGAGGTGACTTGCTGAGGGTCCCCTAGCTAGTTCGGTGGTGGAGGCAGAAAGCCTAGTCTGCGGGTTCCACCTGCTTTGCTTTTTCTCCCAAACCTTGTTGCTTAACAGGGGCCAGGCTCTGGGGACGTGGAGAACCTTACATCAGCCCTGGGCCGGGAGGAGTCCCTGTCTGAGGGGCGGCTGGCTCCAGCTCACCATGCCGCCACCCCCCAGCTCTGCACAGGCTGTGGATGAGCTGTGTGCCACCCAGACAGAGGTCAACAGGGCTCTCCTGACTGCCAATCCAGTGACCTCATTTCAGCCCTTGCCCTGAGTGACCTCTTGTGGCTTTTAACTCCATTCTCTTTTCTCTCCATGAAAAGTTTACTATCCCCAGCTCCCAACCTCCTGCTGCCTTCGATTCTGTCTTCGCAATGTCCTTTCACCGGTTCATCCTGTACTGCCCCTCACAGCCCCTTATTTTGTGCCTGCTGACTCTGCCCCAAGTGTCTTCCTTACACCCCTTGCACGGTTCTGGTCACTTTCATGCTTTGGCTTCTATCTTACATTCTGTGATTCCAGCATCCAAACAGCTGTCACTGTGGACTCACTCCCTATGTCCCTGTCTGTGCTGCTACATTGTGTCTGTGTTAATTCTCATCCTCACAGTCTTACCTGGCGAACTAAACGGTAGGCTCGTGTTCTCCGGATGAGGAAGCTGTTCAGTAACTTGCCCCTCATCTCAGGAAGGGCAAAGCCAGCATTGGGACCCAGGGCTCCTGGCCCTTTCCTGTCCTCAGGCAGCCTCTCCCGAGCTCTGGACCATCTGCAGTTCTCAGTTATCCAGCGCTGGCCTCACTGTCTCTCCCCAAACTGGTGCCTGCACCCCCATCTTTGTAGCAGGGTCCCTGTCAGCCTGACCAGAAAACTCTTCCTCCCCCATCCAGTCAGTCTCAAGGTTCTTTCTCTCCCCATCATCTCTTGAATCTGTCCCCTCATGATAATAGCAGTGATGAGGATAATAGCAGCTCTTGCTAATTAAGCACTTGTTATGAGACAGGCCTATATTCATTCTCTCGTGCTCACAGCAGCCCTGCCAGGAGGTACTGCTTTATAGAAATGAGGAAACTGAGGCTCGGAGAGGTCAAGTGACATGCCTAAGGTGACACAGTAAATGGCTGAGCAAGGGCTTAGCTGAGGATGGTCTGACGCTAGGTCCCGTGTGCTTCCCTGGCTCAGGGCACATCCTCTGTTTCCCTGATTATTCCTATTACCTCCCACTTGGCCTCCATCTTGCTGGTCTGACCTGGTCTCCACATTCCTGCTGGGACTGTCTTTCCAGACCATAGGTGTGATCCTCCCTAAGAAAACCTCTGTCCCACCCAGGATCCTAGCACCCTGGCCTCTGGCATAGCTGCTTCCTGCCAGGCTAAGGCCCTGTGTGCTCTGGCCCACCTGCTCCCTTGCCTTCCCTGAGGGTCTGCAGCCCAGCAACGTGCCACTCCCTTCCTGTGACCTGGCATGCACTGTCCCCTCAGCTGGCACCTGTCCTGCACAAGGCCAGTTCCTACCTGCAGGCTTAGGTCAGCTTGCAGGTCAGCCCCTTGAGACAGAGATGGTCCTGGGGCTCCCCAGCCTCCGCCTTCTATCCTGTCTTGCCGTATGTGCCCTGCTTGGTTCCTCCAGTGTCCCCTGAATGCCTTAGGGCAGGGCCCAGCCATGATTCCCTTCTTTGTCCCCAGCACCCAGCAGGGGGCCTAGCTTGGGACAGGGCAAGAGGTGTAAGTTTGAGCCTAGTATGGTATCATCTGGCTGCTAAGAATGAAAAGTGGCTCTAGCTTCAGTACTTTCCTAAAAGTTCTGTCACTTGTCTGGGGGTGGGAGGAAGTGGGGCCGAGTGATTAGACTGTTGGTGCCGAAAGTAGGGTGAAGGTAGGCTCTGCTCTCAGGAGACCTGTCTCCCTCGTAGGCCAAGGCCTGTGAAAGGGCTCTCCACCTCCCACTGGGTTCCAAGGCTTCAGACCTTAGAGGGATTTTAAGGCGCTTGTGGGAACTTTGAGATTCTTGTGGACCCATTACTCTGTTCCTGTCTCCCCTCTGGCCCTTCTGATGCCAGCCCCACATGCGGTTAAGCCTGTAGGTGGCTCAGGGAGAGACAGCTGCAGGGAGCAGAGCTGGCTGGCCCTTAGGCCTGAGCTGCTGTGGAAGTGTCAGGGCTGCTGGCAGGCAGCTGGGGCTGTGCTGGGCCTGGCTTTTGAGGTCCAGACGGAGGAGGTGAGGAAGGAACGCTAGTCCTGGAGGAGACGGTTTCCTCCACACCCCTGAACCCTGCCTCTCTCAGGGGCCCCAGGCAGCTCACTTCCCCTCAAAGAAGCCCCTGTTCTCCAGGCCTTGGGTGGAGGTGGGAGTTAGGAAGAAAATAACTTTTGACCCTGGTCCGCTCTAGGAGTCCTACGCCAACGTGAAGCAGTGGCTGCAGGAGATTGACCGCTACGCCAGCGAGAATGTCAACAAACTCTTGGTGGGCAACAAGAGTGACCTCACCACCAAGAAGGTGGTGGACAACACCACGGCCAAGGTGAGCGGGGCCTGGGCCAGGCTGCCTAGGGGGCCTGGGGCCTGCTGCCCCTCACCGTCTCCCCTCTTCTTCTCTCCTCTCCCCTTGTCAGGAGTTCGCAGACTCTCTGGGCATCCCCTTCCTGGAGACAAGTGCCAAGAACGCTACCAATGTCGAGCAGGCGTTCATGACTATGGCTGCCGAGATCAAAAAGCGGATGGGGCCTGGGGCAGCCTCAGGGGGTGAACGGCCCAACCTCAAGATCGACAGCACCCCTGTAAAGCCCGCTGGTGGTGGCTGTTGCTAGAAGGGGCATGTGGAGTGGGACAGGAGGGGGCATCTTCTCCAGATGATGCCCCTGGAGGGGGCAGGAGGTGCCTCCCACTCCCTCTCCTGGGGCATTTGAGTCTGTGGCTTTGGGGTGTCCTGGGCTCCCCATCTCCCTCTGGCCCATCTGCCTGCTGCCCTGAGCCCTGATTCTGTCAGGGCCCCCCAGGGAAGACACCCAGGACCTGTGGCTAGGGTGGGGCTTGCTCTGCTGCTGCCTCTAGGTAACTTTAAAGACTCCCCACCACATACTTTTCTTTGGAACGAGGGCTCCTCCGTCTGTCTCCCCCAGCCCCCATGTATGCTGCACTGGGTTTCTCTCCTTCCCTTCTCCCTTCCCTCCCTACTTCCCTAAAGCTGAGAGCCTTCCTGCCCTCTGCCGCCCCTGGCTGCAGTCAGGGGCTGGGGCCAGGACCTGGGATCCAGGGTTCTGGGCCGGACCTCAGGATGGGTGTGGGGGTCACAGGGGCTCAGCAGCCCACCCTTTCCCCCTCCCACTGCCTCCCCTCCCACCCCTCCTACACTCCCAGCTCGAGCCGTCCAGCTGCGGTGGGATCTGAGCACATCGAGGGCAGGTGGGCGGGCAGCCTTGCTGGGCCTGTGTCTTGAGCCCAGAGGGAGCCTGCTCCTGCCGCCCCCTGCCCTGCCAGAGCCAGGCCTGTGTACTGCCTGCCCACCGTGCCCCTTTGTCCCCACGGCAGGCAGAGGCGGAAGGCCCACCATGCGGAAGGCCCACCGTGCCGAGGCCAGGCACCAGCCTTAACCCTCACTCTGCCAGCACCTCTCCCTCCCCGAGGCAGCACATCTGGCTTATTCCCCCTCCCAGCCCTTGGAGCCTAGTAGGGCAGATCCTCAGCCCCTGCCGCTACTTCTCTGGGGAATGTGGGTTCAACCCAGGGTTGGGGGACCTCTGCTTACCCCCTTCCCACCCAGGATCCTAGCCCCCTGCCCTCTGGCACAGCTGCTTCCTGCAGAAAAACACATTTTTGGTCTCTACCTAAGAAGCCATGTCCCTTGTGCTGTCTCTTGCCTGTCCCACCTGCCCTCCAACTTGTATTTAAGTCCCTGGGCTGCCCCTTGGGGCATCCTTCATTCCCAGGTTCCCCTCTGGTGTCATGTCAGGCATTTTGCAAGGAAAAGCCACTTGGGGAAAAGATGGAAAAGGACAAAATAAAAATCAATAAATTTCCACTGGCCCTCGGGTGAGCCGAGGGTTTTTGCAAGGAAGTTGTGGCTGAGCGTGGTCTGTGGGCTGAGCCCAGCCTTGGGGTGCAGGATGGAACTAGGCCCCAGGCCTTGGTGGGATGCCTTGGGTCCTGGGGTCGCTGGTGAGAGCCCTTGACCCATTTCCTGGGGCTAGGAGAGCTGCCTGCTTGTGCTTTTGTGGTCTGTCCCCAAGGGCCCAGCACCGTTCTGTCAGGGAGCGTCGCAGGCGGCCATCAGCGAGTACCTGGTGAGCCGCTGCCAACACCCACGCAGGCACACGGCCAAGATGTGGAGTCGGGCAGGAGCCGGAGCCGGGCGCACCTGGCCCGCACCCTCCAAACCCCCGGTTCAGCCTCCTGTCCCTGCTTCGCTCCGGCTTCCTGCCACGAGTTTCTGCCCTCTGGGACAGTGACAAGTGCTCCCACTGAAGGCCTCGTAGTGCAGTGCGGGCCGTTGTGGGGAGGGCGACGCGGTGTGTGAGGGTGGGGGCGTGTGCCCGTCCGCGTGGCCGAGTGTGACTGCGGTGGGTTGTGTGGAGCGGAGTGGGGGCGGGGCTGCGGGGCCGTGCGGTGTCCGAGGGGTGCTGCCACGGCTCGCGGGCGGGGCGCGGCCGGCGCGCGGGCGGAGGGCGCCGCGAGACCTGGCCCCGGCCGAGCGCGTGCACGGCCCCGGCCCCGGCTCCCCCCGCGTCGCGGGCTGAGAGGAGGAGCCGCGGCGAGGGATCGCAGGATGAGCGTCGCGGCCGGCAGCCGGCAGCGGACCGCCCCGAGCCCACCGGCCGCGCCCGCGTCCCCCACGGCCCGCGGCCCGGTCCGGCCGCCGCCGCCCGCGTCCGAGCCCGCGGGCCATGCCGCGGCCGCCAAGCGCGGGCCGGGGGGCGTCCCCTTGCGCCCGGGCCCCGCGCTGGCGCCCCCCGGGCCGCCGCCCGGCGCCGGGGCCATGGCGTTCACCTTCGCCGCGTTCTGCTACATGCTCACCCTGGTGCTGTGCGCCTCCCTCATCTTCTTTGTCATCTGGCACGTAAGGCCGGGCTGGGGCTGGGGCTGGGGGCGGGGGTAGGGGGCGCACGGAGCGGGAGGGGCTGGGGCGGTGGGCTCAGCGCTCTAGGGAAACTTGGAGCCTCCGCTCCGTTATCCTCCATGCTCGGCTTCTGTTCGCCCCCATTAGCACCCCCCATGGTCGGCTTCCTTCCCGGCCCCCCTTCCTCCGCCGCCCCCGCCTGCTTGTGTGTGTGTCAGTCGGCCCCTGACCCCCCTCCTCTGCCCCATCCAGCCTGGGGTGGGGGCAAAATCTGGAATTTTTGTTCCTTTACCTTCTAAGTGCCCTCCCATCCAGCCGCCCCCGTTTGTCTGTGGGGCAGTTTGTCTGTCTGCTGCCCCCCCCCACCTTTGTGGGTTTTTCCAGCCTTGAGATGGAGCCGGTTGCTATGGCAACTGCATCTGTTTACAGGACCCACGTATCTCAGAGCCCATTAACCCTTTCTCTTCCCAGCCCCCTCCCTGATCAAGCAGCCCCCAGAGACCTACCTGGCCCCCACCACTGGCTCTGTCTCCCTGCTCCTCTTGCCCAGGCTTCCAGCCCCCCAGGTTTGCTCCTGACTTTCCAGCATCCCTCCTATTCTGGCTGCACTTTCCCCTTTGTCTGGCATCCCCCTTGGTGTGTCCCCCAACCTGGCCCAGCCTCACACCTGCCTCTTCAAATGTCCATTTCTCTCCATATCGGATCATATCACTTCCCCAGAGGCTTCCGTTTCTCAAGGGCCTCCTCTGCCTGGCTCCCTTCCCCTCACTACAGAGCTGTCAACCAGCCTCCAGCTCATTACTGGGGGCCCTGGCCTCCCTTTACTGCCCTCTCTCCTCCCGCCACCCGCTCGCTCGCTGCCCTCCAGGTCTCTGTCTGTAGCAGCCTGCCCGGCTCAGCCCCTGCTGGCTCACACCTCCCTGGCCGTCGCCCCCTTTGGGGGGTCCTCTTACCCTCTCTAGTTTCTCTCGCATTCCAGTCCCCCCTTCCTCCCAGGGCCTCACCTGCCTCTTTCCTGGTCTCCCCATTTCCTCTTTCTCTTCCTGGGACCTGCTGCCGGCTCCATGGTTCTCCCTCACTCCCTTTGCCGCCCCTGCTGCCTGTCCCTTGGACATCAGGAGTCATATACCCTCACTGCACCCCTACTATGTGAGGAGTGCGCCCCACAGGCACCCCACAGCTCCAGCCCTGTCGCACCCTGGCCTTGCTCCTCTCTCTGTCTTCCTCTCTGGGCCTCTCAGTTGCTTTTCTTCCTCCCTTCCCCCCACTCTGTTTCTCTTACCCTCCCTCCATGCCCTGGGCCCATCTTAATCTCTCTGAGCCTCCTGTCCCGTCCCCAGGGCCTTGGACAATCATGGGGGCTAGGGACAGGAGGGCTAGGGTCCTAAGGACTAGAGGGAATTGGGGGCCACAGGCTGGGAAACAGCTAACAGGCTCAAAGGAGAAAGGATCCTGGAATTCAAGAAGCCCCTTTTTGGTCCCTCCCCAGCCAGGGGCCTCCCACATCCCCTGTGGGGGTCCTTGGCCTCGGGGTTCTCAGAGCAGTTTTCCACCCAGCGCGCTGCACTGATGCTTCTTGAGGACCAGGCGCTGGGTGGCTTTGAGGGAGTCAAGGATGAGTAAGACTCAGACTTTGCCCTTGTGGAGCGCCCAGGCTGGGGGAAAGGCCCAAGCTTTGAGTAAGGCCTCTGTCCATTCAACAGATATTCATCGGCACCTACTGTGTGAGGCCCTATGTTTGCACAGCCGCTTAGCTGGGTGATCTTAGCAAGTCATTTGTCCTCAGTCTTGTCTCCTCATTGGTAAAGTGCCCAGATTGAGGCCTCCTAGGGGATAGGAGGTGTGGCCCTCAATCCAAAGCTGATAAGAACTAGAATCTTCCAGGGCAGGACCTCAGATCCCACTCCAGACCCTGAGCCCAGGCCCCAGTGGTTGCTAGGCAACCCTGGTGGTGAGTGACGCGTGTCAGCTGTCACCGTGGGGGATTGTTTGTTCCAGGGGGCTGACTCAGCGCCAGGCAGCCTGGGGGGTGGGAGGCGCGACACCCGCCACCTGCTGGCGGTGCCAGCTCTGGGGCAGACAGACGGCACCCTTCCTCTCCCTGCTGGACCCTGTTGCAGTGCCTGTCAGGCGGGCGGCTGCCCAGAGTCAGTGGCGAGCTGGGGGGTTCCAGATGGTCCCAGCCCCCTCCAGGAAGCCCATGTTCTTTCCCTCTGAGCTGTCTGGGGTCTGGGATGCTTGGGGGTGGTGGGCCTGCTGCCTCATGCTAGGGCTGGAGCTGAGGGGGGACCCTAGCAGGCCCGTCTGCCAGCCTACCTCCCCCAAGTCACCTGCTAGCTCCCCTAGATTCGTCCCATCATCCTCTCAAACACCTGCTCCCCTCGACAGTTCCCCACCTGTGAGGACACTGCCATCGCCAGACATCCCAACACCCGAAGGCACCTTGGGCCCCTCTGCCTTCACCTCACCTCCGTTGGAGCCCTCTGGAGTCCGGCTCCTAAAGAGCTCTAGGATCCAGCTTCGCCTCCTCATCTCCACTGCCATTCTTCCCGCTCAGACCACCGGCACCCCCCCCAACACTCCAGCAGGCCCCGCTGGTCTAGGACAGAGTGGTTAGAAATTTTAACCTGGAGTCAGACTGGGTGAGAATCTTGGCTAACCACTAACTAGCTGTGTGGCCTTGGGCAAATCACTTAACCTCTCTGTCTCAGCTTCCTCATCTGCAAAGCAGAAATGAAAATAGTACTAGTGCCTATGTCATTAGGTTGTCTCAAGCATTAAAGGAGTTAATAAGCAGAAAGCCTGCAGGCGGAGCGGAAGCACTGTGGATGTCTTAGCCAGGACCGTTAGCTGGCTCCTACCTCCTGCCCTGCCAGTCCTAAGACATCAGCCTGGCCGCCCCACTCTGCTGCTTTCTGCCCTCAATGGCTCCCCATTATTTTTGTGTTGAAGTTCAAATTCCTGGGCTGGCCTCACAGGGCACCGGTGTCTGGCTCTGCTGACCGCTCCACCATCTCTCACCATTCCCTCCTTTCTTCCTGCAGTCCTCACTCACTCTAGCCCAGGAACCCCACAGCTTCCTGAATGTTCCTTGTTCTTTCAACCCCCCGTGCCTCTGTAGCTGCTGTTTCTGCTGCTTGGACTGCTCTTCTCCATTGTTCACCAGACAAACGCCTACTCGGAATCCAGCCTGAGCCCCATCACCCTGCACACAGGGCCTGGCGCCCACCCTGGGTCCCCCCTGTACTCCCAGTCCTGATCGCCTGGAATGTAGCTTGGAGTTCTCCTCCCCTCTAGCCCAGGTTCCTCCCAGGCCGGGGCTGGCTGCATCCAGTGCTCTGCACAGGGCCGAGGCGGCCGGGTCTCTGGATGTTGTGGAAGGGTGAGCACTGGACATGGGCCTGCTTTAGGATCAGGACTAGGGTTCTATTCTAGTCTGTTGTGTGACCAGGCCCTGCCCCTCCTTGGGCCTCAGTTTCTCCACCTTTGCAACATGCCCCATCTAGCTTGGTCCCCTTGTATAAATTCCTGCTGCTACCCCAACCCTGACGGGCACACGCCCTTCCCCCAGATCATAGCCTTTGACGAGCTGCGGACCGACTTCAAGAACCCCATTGACCAGGGGAACCCAGCGCGGGCAGTAAGTGATACATGTGCTGTGCCGAGGTGTGTTCGTCTGTCTGTCTTTCCATCTGGGGGGCGGGGGCGCACGGGAAGGGGAGGGGGGGCGGGGGGTGGTGACCGTGCCCCTTCCTCTCTGTCCCCGCCCCCAGCAAACACCTGGCGCGGGCTCAGGGCTTCAGTTCCTCCTCGCGGGGCAGTGGTTGCCAGGCTCTGGGCCGTTGTCGTGGAGACGCGGGTGAAGGCCCCTCCATGGTGACGGTCGCCATGGGGACGGCGCGACTGCTTCCCTGCCGCAGAGACTCCTCTGGTGCCCCCTGGCGGCCACATGCAGGGCGGAGGGGGGCGCCCCGTGCCAGCTCCTGTGCCTCCCCCATCCCGGCCTTTTCCTTCCCCTACAGCGCGAGCGTTTAAAAAACATCGAACGCATCTGCTGCCTCCTGCGGAAGGTCAGTGTCCGAGCTGGGGACGGGCGCGCTGCCCCCACTCCCTGTGGCCCAGAGCCAGGCCTTCCTCCTCTCTGGGCCTGTTTGATCCACTCAGCCATTTGGAGGGAGGCCTTTTAGTCCCCAGAGGTCATGGTGGGCAGGCACCTTGCAAAGCCCAGTGCCCCTCTGTGCCCTTGAAGCTTGGGTCTGCCTTGGCACCAGGCCACTGACCTCTCGCCCTCACTTCCCCAGCTGGTGGTCCCAGAATACTCCATCCACGGCCTCTTCTGTCTGATGTTTCTGTGTGCAGCAGAGTGGGTGACCCTGGGCCTCAACATCCCCCTCCTCTTCTACCACCTCTGGAGGTGAGGCCAGCAGCTTCCTGGGAGGCTGCGGCGGGGAGCAGGGGCAGGCTGGGGTGGGAGCCCCGGCAGTGGGCGCTCAGAGCCCTGTCTGCCCAGGTACTTCCACCGTCCTGCGGATGGCTCTGAGGTCATGTATGATGCGGTCTCCATCATGAATGCTGACATCCTCAACTACTGCCAGAAGGAGTCCTGGTGCAAACTCGCCTTCTACCTGCTCTCCTTCTTCTATTACCTGTACAGGTGAGGCCCCACCCACTGCGTCAGAACTCAGGGAAGGGACCTTATAGGAGTCATGTTTCCAAGCCCTTGTCCCTGCCCTTTGCCCTTGAGGACTGAGGGCAACCCAGGCTGTGACTGGGTGGGCGGCCACCGGCTGGGTTTGCTTGGGACTTGGCTCACAGTGTCATTTTCCCACAGTATGGTTTATACGTTGGTGAGTTTCTAAAGGGGAAGCCGGCCAGGGAGCGAGCCCAGAACGGACCGGACGCCTGTGCACCCCAGCCCTGCCCCTTGGCCGCAGAGGCCTCAGTCCTGGGGAAGGAGGGGGCACTGGTGCCCCCAGCCTCTCCAACCCCCAAACTGCTGCTGCGGGGACCCCCCACCCCCGCCTTCAGGGCCCTCCCCCTTGGACCAGGGCTGAGCAGAGCTCTAAATAGGGGCAGGGGCTCCTCTGCCAGCCCACCGGCATGGCAGTCAGTCCTGGAAGGGCGGGACCTCTGGCCTTGTCCATTTCGGGGGAAGCTTGGGCCCTGCCGTGGGCCAGAGCTTGACCCTGGAAATTCTGGGCCAGCTCCCTCCACCCCCACCCTGAGGCCCCCGCTGCAGGTGGGGGGCACCCACACCCAGAATGAGCAGGCTCAGCAGGGGCCACCCCACCCCTAGTCTGCCCTCCTCCCTCCCCCAGGCTCTTTCTCCAGCCCCCATCTCCACTCACCCCAGCCTCACCCCACCCTGTCTCTTGAACCTATTTTCTATGTTGCCTGGAGGAGTCCGGCACCCCCTCCCCAGCCATTTGTGACAAAATATGAATAAACTACTGCAAACACATGGGCCCCAGTTCTGCTCCTGAAAAGGTTGACGAAGATATGGGAGCAAGGGGGCCGTACAGGGCACAGGCCTGGACAAAGGCCTTAGCACAGTGAATCCGACCCCACTAGCCAGAGGCCCCTGCCAGACTGACCAGAGGCTGCTGCCTGCCCATCCTCTTTCCTGGCTGTGCCTGCTGATGGCCTTCCATCTGCCTTCCAAGGCAGTGTCAAGGTGACCAACTCAGGAAGGTGTCCATGCATCCACACTCTTCCCAGACAGCCCCAAGCCTGTCCCCTGGGCAGCGCAAAGCCTCAGAGGTGTCTGCACCTCCCCGCAGGCCCCAGGAACAAGGGTCAAACAAAGTCAAGGAAATCAAATCTTCAATGTATGGAAAAATCGGTGCCATCTGGGGCCAGGGGTCACCGGACCAGGTGGAAGGTCAGCCAGTATATGATGAGAGGCTGGAAGGCTGCAGCCCCCAGAGTCAGGTAGAGCTGGAGACGCTGCCGGGGCCCTGAGCCGCCCATGCTGTCAGAGCCCAGGGCTGCTGTCCGCAGAGAGCGCACCTGGAAGAAAGGAGAGCTGAAGCTGGGCCAGGAGAGGAAGACTGGTCCCAGCTCTGCCTCCAGGTGCAGGGACGGGAGGGGCAGCCCAGACTCACAATGAAGTACATGAGCGCAGAAGAAGTCCAGGCCAGCACCACGTAGTAGCCATTGCTGCCGAACAGCAGCCCCGTGAGCACGCTGAGGATCATTCTGGAGGCAGGGGGGCATGGGGAGGAGGGGGTTAGTGACCCCTCAGGGTCCAAGCCTGAGATTGGCCCTGCCCACCAGGACCCAACCCAGCCAGACCCCACTCCCAATCTGTCCCCACAGGGACCCAGACCTAAAAAGGATCTGGAAGGCCCAGGCCTAAGCCCCAGGACCTGTATCTGAGACCCAGATCTCTCCCCCATGTTCCCAGGGTGGGTCTCAACATAGCCCTAACCTCCTGCATGGCACCCAGGTCTGCAGGAGACTTCTGGTTCCTCTAACAGAGCAGGGCTAGAGGCCGCGGGGTGCTGAGACACGTCCAGGGTCATGGTTCAAGAGGGTCACAGCTCGAGGCTAGAGCTATGCAGGTCTAGACCCAAGGCCACAGGCTCCTCCCCAGGCCACCTCTCCCCAGTCCACAGGTGCTCACCCCACATATTTGTAGCCGCTGTAGGCCAGCAGGTGGAAGGTACTCAGGTCACTGCGCACGGTGGCCAGGTAGAGGCCCAGGAGCAGGGCCAGCACTTCCATCACCACCCACACCAGCGCTGTGCTCGCACACAGGCCCAGCACCTCGGGGGAGAACCTGTGCCAGGGCGAGCGCAGTTCAGAGCCGGCCATCCTGTGGCAGGGGTGAGGGTGGGAGACTGGGGGCAGCAGGGGACCTGGCACAGGCCCCCTGGGGAGGTAGGGAGAAGAGCGGGGGGGGGGGGGTAGGGAAGTAGCGGGGGTTGGCACCAACCTTTTCTGAATGCCCAGTGCCATCCCGGCCAGCAGCACATAGGTGATGAAGGCCATCGCTGCCAAGAGCCAGAGAGACGCCATCAGAGTGACTTCCTCATCCAGAGCCTTCTCTGGGCATCCAAGGCCACTACCACCCCCACCTTCTCCCCATACACCTCCCCTGCATGTCCCAACACAGCCTGACCCCCACATTCGGCTCCCCAGCACCCTGCCTGGGTGCCTTTCTCTGATCAGCCCCTCCCCTGTGAAACATCACCTGATCATTCTCCCAGGACCACAAGCCACCTCCTTCCCTACCCCTGTGCTAGGAAGCTCACCAGTTTTCTGCTGTGTCTCAGAAACTACATCACAGGCCAAGGACACTGCTCATCTCACTGAGGGACTAAACTGATCCTGGTAAGACTGCAGGACCAAAATGCAGGTTCAGTGGACAACCCAGGCTGTGCCTAGTGACCAGGGCCATGGAGATGACCTCACCTCACCCAGCAATTCTAAGTCTGGCCATTGGCACTGGCTACAACTCTGGCTGCCTAGATGGTGCAGAGAACTCCAAGTCTAACTTTGAGCTGTTTTCACGAAAACCCAGGGCCAGTGGGAGCCAGGCTTTCACAGCAGTTTTAACTCACCAGTCCTGTCCTCTTCCTGCCTTGACGCACTAGAACTGATGTGACCTGTGACCACAGAGGCCAAAGTGTCCAGAGTTAGGAACACCTCTACCACCTATAAGCTGTGTGGCCTCAAAGATCTGCAAGTCCCCTCTGAGCCTTGGCTTCAACATGTAAAATGGGGATGCCAATACCAGCCTTACACAGTGGCTACAAGGGACAAGTGGAATGAAGGACTGAAGAACCTTCATCCTGCCAGGATGTCTGGGACAGCTGCCTTCACTGGAGCTCCTCGGAGGGCCTGTCCTTGACACGCTAAGCCCCTCCTAAGTACCCACTGTGGGCCTGCATAGCCGACAGGACAGAGGAGTCAGCTGCAGAGCGGGCCAGCCACAGCCCACATGGACAGGCAGTGCAGGAACCCAGAAAGCAGCCAACACTTGCTCAGGGGCTCAGGAAAGGCTTCCTGGAGGAGGGGATGACGGAGCAGGCCTTGGAAGACGAGTGATAATAATGATGACAGCTAATGTTTCCTACATGCTTGCCATGTGCCGGGTGCTATGCTAAGCAAACATCACCTCACTACATCTCTACGACAACCCTTTGAGATAGGGACAGTTATTATTCCTGCTTTACTAAAGAGTGCAAGTAACCAGCATAATGTCCCACAGCTGGAAGTTACAGAGTCAAGTCTAAACCCAGGGCTCCTGGCTGGGGAAGGATATGGTCCAAGTCAAGAGGCAGGATGGTCTCAAACGGGTGTCCTGGGGACAGCAAAGGCACATTCAGTAAGATCCTTATTGGTCACCCCGCACCATCTAACTGGTGTCTAGCAACTAACTGCCACACCTGAAAAGCACCCAGAGCAGATGCTGAATAATTGAGCCTCTCCCTTCCCATTCATCCCTCAAGGCACAAGTCCCGCCACGTCCTCCAGCCCAAGTCAGAGACTCACTGGGGATATAGAGGTCGGGGGCGTTGAGGTCTTGCCGAGGAGGCAGAGGCACATCACGGCTGTACTGCACTTCCCAGTTCTGGCAGTGGCAGCAGCAGCCAGGTCAGGAGCAGATGAAAAAACAGGAGAGAAGGGGTTTGATGTCTGGAAGCAGACTCTGAAGCAGGATGAGGGAGGCCCCCCAGCTCACCTGGTAGGAAGCTCACCTGGTGTGTGTAGGGGAAGACCAGGAGCCCTAGCTTCTTGGCCACATAGGCTGTGTCCACAGCAAAAAAATACTTGAGTTTGTTCACAGACACAAAACGGTGCAGCTAGGAGGGGAGAGAGGAGGCTGTGGGCAAGCCGAAAGCGGAGCCTCAGGGTGCTCCTCTGTGTGCTCCTTCCCTGAGGAATTGGGCGGAGTCCCATGATGCCCCAGCCCTAGCCAAGAATTCTGCCACCCTTGCCCTGGGGGCAAGCCACACCTCCTTGTGCACCATGTCCTTCCCATGGGATGCGATGGAGCTGCCATAGGCCATAGCCACATTGGCCATTGGGTCCCCAAGCAAGTGGTTGACATTGAAGGCCACATCTGCTCCTGGGGCTGGGTATCCCCCGGGCTGGCTGGAATAACCACCGCTTGTGTCATCGAAGAGGGGAGGGGGGTCCGGAGCTGCCCGGGCCCTGTGCTTGGAGCCTGCGGGTTTGGAAGTATCAGAGTAGGTGACAGGATACCAAGCATACCATACAGGAATACCAAACCACAGCCCTTACCCTAGCTGGGCAGCCCTGCTTGATGTCCTGGGGACATCAAGCAATCAGTGAGGGAAACCCAGGCTGGGTGAAGGGTAGCTAATTCAGAAAGAACTTTGATGAGGGATCTTTGCGAGACATCCTTTGGTAAGTGTAGGCAAAGGAAGAGCTAAGGCAGCGCCTAGAATTGATTGCCCACCTGGGGTTCCTGGGGGTTATCAAGGGAAGTGATCTCTGAATTGAGCAGAGGAGAGCGAGTGCAAGTTTGCCAAGTGCAAGTTTGCCAAGATAATTGAGGGGGCACCCTTGCATAAGCAAAGATGAGAAAGGCAACAGCTGGCTACCCGGAGGCCCGGGACAGTGGTCAGGGACCCCACCAGGGTCTAGCGGAGAAAGGAAGTTCTGGAGGTGGACCCCGTTCCTGCCCGGCTCCCGCACGGGGATCCCAGCTGTGCCGCCACCGCCCGACCTCCGGACTGGGCCGAGAGAGCGAAGTCCGGGCCGCGCTGCAGAGTCTCCCGGGCAGGGGCCGAGCGACGCCCCGCCCCGGGCAGCGGTCGCTCCCTCGGCGCCACTGTCCCTCAGAGCGAGCGGGCCGCGCCGCCGACTCTCGGGAGGGCCCCGCCGCGCTCCGCCCGCCCCGCACCCCACGCACCGTGGGCGCCGTAGCCCGAGTGGTAAGCCATGGCCGCGACGCTCGCTCTCCCCGCGGGCCCGCTGCGCCGCCTGGTGGGTGCGAGCACTAATAAGGAAGCTGCTCCGCTCCCGCGGCACCCACTGAAGTTACTCGGCGGCCCGACACGTCCCCCGGCCGGTGGACTGCAGCCGCCATGTCCGCAGCGTCATCCCCCGCCGCCTGCCATTGGCTCTCCGGCGGCCCGGGCTCGCCCCTCTCCTCTCCCCATTGGTTACTGACGCGCCCTCGCCAAAGCGGATTCGGCTGCAGTCAACATCCGGGCGAGGGATGGGCGGAGCGACTCGAGGCACTCTCGGATTGGACAAGGGACTTGTTAGTTCGCGGTGGGAGCAGCCAATAGATGGGGTAAGGCTGGCGGGTGTTGAGGACTATTCCCGCGCCTGCGCGGTGGGGCACTTGGCGCACCCTGCCACGACTACAGCGGGAGACGCGCGGGGCGGCCCGCGGCGGGCGTCCGGGAGCGAATGGGGCGGCCGGGCTCGGACCAGGCCCTGCCCTCGGGGCCCTGCCGCCCCCTGTCTGCGCTCGCTTTCCTCCCCAGCGCCCCACACTCCTCCCAATCCTGGAGCGGAGCCCGGCAGCCCGGTCCCGGCGGGAGGCCCGGCGGGGCGGCGGCGGCGCGGCCGGGCACGCCCCAGGATGCTGACTCCTCCTCCTCCCGCCTCCCGCTCCTCCTCTCCGCGCGGTGCTGTCCGTCGGCCGGTGCTGAAAACGCGCTCTGGCCTCTGTCTCCGTCCTGGAGACCCCCGGGGGCTTGCTGCTGCGAGGGCCTGGGGTCTCGATCCGCACGCTCCTCCGCGAGCGCGCGTGCACACTGAAAATCTAAGGTTCGAAGGCCCCAGAAGATCCGAAGGCCCAGAGATCGGGTGGCATAGGTGGGCAGGGCCTGTCCCATCGGCTTTCCCACGGTCCTGCCGATTTGGGAGCGGAGGTGTGCTGATCCGTTTTCTGAGGCTGCAGCCGAAACCCCTGAGTCATCGCGGGTCCTGTGGTCTTCTCGAAATGAGGCTCCCAAGCCTCACTCGCAGTTCCGGGGATCCATTTCTCTCCACCCAGGTTCTGGTCACTCCCACCCTCCCTGGGGACAATCTTCAGGGGCCTCGCTCTTACAGACCTTCAGCCACCACTTTCCAGAGAGCACAATCAGGTCCTCTGCGACCTGCCTCTAATTACCTAGTGTCCAGTTACACCAGGTGACCTTCCTGCTTTCCAAACTCAGCCCACGTGGTCCAATCGCAGTGCCTTTGCCCAGTGGCCCCCAACCCCTGGGAAGCCCTTTGCCCTCATATCCACTTGTCCAAAGCCTAGTTATCCTTTGAGAGTCAGTTTATCTCTGCTTCTCAGAGGGACAAAAGGAACAGAAGCCTGACCTTGCGGGTAGTGTCGGGGTGGGGTGGGGAGGCCACACGCTGGGTTCTATCCCAATTTTCCCTGGATGTAAGTTCCATGAGGAGAGGGCCTGTATCATTCTCTGCTCCTACCCTGTCCTCCCGGTGCCAAGCACAGTACTTGCATGGAACATCCGAGTCCAACAAATAAATGATAAACAAACAGATTGAACCTTGGACCGGTCAGTTCCTTTCTCTACCTCTCGGTTCCTCTCCTTCAAATGGGTAAATGTGCTTAACTGAATGGCGTTTGAGTTGCCCTTTGCGCAGACACACACACAACACGAATGAACCCACCCAGCACTGCAGCCCCTGATGTGCCACCCACTGACTGTCCAGCTTGGGGCAAGGCCCAGCCTCCGTCCCAAGTGTGAGATCCGAGGGGCCCTGCGAGCCAGGGAGCAACACTGGGGCCTTGTGTACCTGGGAAGGGTCATCCCATGCAGGACAGAGCCCCGTCCGTCCCCTGCACGGCATGGTGAATGCTTGTGAATTGGATCCAAAACCTTTCTATCCCATTCCTTCTATCCCATTCCTCAGATGGGAAAACAGGTTGGGAGAGGAGCGTGCCAGCCGAAGGTCACGCAGCCCGGGGCGGGGCGGGGGCGGGCAGGGGAGAGCCCCAGTGTCCGGCCTCCAGCCTGCCTGCCCTACGAGGAGCCCAGCACCTCTGCCCAGCCAATGCGACTCATGACGCCTTTCTGTGCTGTAATTGCCCTCTTCCCCAGCTAGCGGGGCTTTAGGGGTGAGGTCTGGGCGGGCTCAGCTCTGGGCCTACCGCTTAGACATGGGGCCCCGCGGGCGCCCACCCACCTTGCAGATTCACCCTCCTTGCTTCACCAGGGAGCAAGACCAGCCCAAGGTCGCGAGCGCCGCGGCCGGAGAGCCCGGGAGTCCGGGCGCCCAGTCGGGGCTCCTGTTCTCGCGGCGGGGGTGGGGGGGCCGCGGTGCCAGGCGCTGCCGGCGGCGCCGCGCGCTGTGGGGCGGGGTCAGCGGGGCGGGGCCGGGCACCGCGGCCGCCGCCGCCGCCGCGCGCCTCGGGCTCGAGCTCCGCGCACTCCCTCCGTGGCCGCCGAGCCGAGCGGACGCCCCCGGGGCCGCGCCGCAGCCCTGCGCGCTCCCCCTATCATGCCCCGGGCCCGGGCCGGGGCCGCCCAAGCAGCCAGGACACCATGCCCGAGGGCGGCGGCGGCGACGGCGGAGAAGTGCCCGCGCTCGTCCCGGACAGCGAGCTGCGGGAAGAGGTACCGGCGCTGTGCGGTGGGGCCGGACGCGGGCCTGGGCGGCGTGAGGGGGACTAGGGAGGAGAGACTCCCGGGAGAGGGGCTGAGGGGGGCAGTCCCGGAGCCCCTGCGGCCAATGACGTCATCGGGTGCCCTGCGTCCCGCCGGGGGTCCCGGGGCCTAGGGGCCCGCGTGGGGTTAGGGGTCGGGCGTCTGGGCAGGAACGTGGGGGGCGACTTCCGCCCCCCGGCGCCCCCTTATCCGGCCTCGCCCGCCCTATGACGTCAGCGCCCGGCCCCCGGGCGTTCCCATTCCGCAGCGCTGCGGGGATGCTGCCCCCACCCTCAGGGCCACGGGGTCAGGCCCCCAGCCCGCCCCAGCGGCTCACGCGCTGCCCGAGTGGTGCCTGCAATGCAGCAGCTGTAGCAGGGCCTGGGGGAGGGCGGCACGAGGGAGGAGGCGCCTTCCCCTCAAGTGAGGGCCCACTCTGCTGCTGGGACCTCCCGGACGGCCCCTCCTCAGCCCCGCCAGGAAGATCCGCAGCGCTGTGGGGCCCCGTGTGCTGTGTTGGGGCGACAGGGCCTGGACGGTACCTGGAGGCCGGCGAGAGTGGGTCTGTGTGTGTTTGGGTGCAGGCAGCCTGCTGGCGTATGTGTGGTGTGGGTGTGTGAATCGGGTGTGTGCGGTCCCTACACCTCCGGTGGGAGCTCTGTGCCCTGTAGTCAGATGAGGGTCTGGCGGGCGCCTGGGCTTGGGTGTTACCCAGAGGTGTGCGTGTGAGTGCGTCCTGTCGCGGGTGGGGCTCTCCCGCGTGGATTGGGGGGGTGTCAGGTTGCAGTGGGGGGTGAGGAGATGTGCTCCATGGTCGTGTGAAGGTCTGCTGTGTCTCTGGGCTTCAGTGTGTGACGTGTATGTGCGTGTGTCTGTCTGTCTGTCCTTGTCTATGGTGCTGTGGCTGTGGGGGTTTGTACTCTGGGGACAGGTGAGAGACTGGTGCTTCCTGGATGAACAGGCTGTGAAGAACACGTGTTGGGTGTGGGCGAGTGGGAGGGTGCATCCGACTGGCCCGAGGGTCAGGGTGGTGGTGTGCACCTGTGGTGGGTGACAGGGGTGCAGGCTGCCCTGGGCTGAGCTGGGGCGGGCCCTGTCCTCTTGGGCCTCTGAGGCCTGGTGGGGCTGGGGTGGGAGATATGGCTCCTTAACCCACCTCTGCTGTCTCCACTTCCTGCCCACCTCTTCCCTCTCCATAGGCACCTGGGGGCGAGGAGGCCAGGCTGGCAGCCCCGCCAGGGAGGGTGTGCCAAGCCCTCAGGGCCAGGGAGTGGCCCCTGCTGCCCGGCAGCTGTGTCCTTCCCCCGCGCAGATGGGGAGTGGAGGACGGCCCTCCATGTGCTCCCCACCCTGAGACTCACACCTCCCCCGTTCCTAGCGCTCCCTCTGCCTTGCTGACTTAAAAGCCTCTCCCGAAAGTCTCTTGCCATCTCTACTGGAACAAGGGACCAGAGGGAGTCTCGGGGTAACCGTAGCAATATTTATTCCCACGGCCAGACCCTGTGCTGAGATCTTCACACACGTTATCTCGTTGAGTCCTCACAGCACCCCCAGTTTGCAGATGAGGAAACTGAGGTCCAGAGAGGATGAGGGACCTGCCCAAGCCACACAGTGAGTGATGGAACCAGTTCCCCCCTCAGACCCCTGCCACGCTAGCCTCCCAGACCACCAGGACCAGGGATCAAGGCCCAGAGAGGGTAGGGGTGTGGCCAAGGTCACACAGCAAATGAGGGCAGAGCCAGGACCAGAACTTGGTTTTCTCAACAGCCAGTGGGGGGATGGGGGGGGTCCTTTCCTCTCCTGGCAGAGGTGAGTCTGTTGTGTCCTAGGTGCCCTTGGCTGACCACTAGCAGAGCACAGTGGAGGACAGGCTTAGGGCGGAGAGGCCTGGGTTCGAATGGTGCAGTGCCACTGTGACTTAACCAGACACGTGAGGCCTGGGTAAGTGGCTCCGTCGCTCAGAGCCTCAGTTTCCTCTTCTGCAAAGTGGGGCTCATGGCATCACCTTCTTCACTGGGGTTAAACCAAGTGGCAGGCATGACTGATGGGCCCGTCCTGACACACGCCTCCCTTCTCTCTGCCCACCTGCAGCAGCGGCCCCTGAAACAGTCCCTGGGAAGCTCCCTGTGCCGCGAGTCGCACTGGAAGTGCCTGCTCCTCACGCTGCTCATCCACGCCTGTGGGGCTGTGGTGGCCTGGTGTCGCCTGGCCACCGTGCCTCGGCTGGTCCTGGGGCCAGAGGCAGCCTTGGCCCGCGGGGCCGGGGGCCCGCCACCCACCTACCCGGCCAGCCCCTGCTCCGATGGCTACCTATACATCCCGCTGGCCTTCGTCTCCCTCCTCTACCTCCTCTACCTGGCTGAGTGCTGGCACTGTCACGTGCGGTCCTGCCAGGCGCCGCGCACTGACGCCAACACCGTGCTCGCCCTGATCCGCCGGCTGCAGCAGGCGCCGCCCTGCGTCTGGTGGAAGGCCACCAGCTACCACTACGTGCGGCGGACGCGCC